CTAAATAATTTCACTATTATTTATGCATTAACAATCATCCAAGTGAAGATTTAAAAGGAAGAATAAACTGAATGTAGTGGTCAGGAGGGGAAATGTTGGTTTAAGCTAAATATTTTACTGTGAAAAGACACACATCATTTCAAATCTGCATCTGTCTGCAGATATGGATGTGGAAAGCATGAATTAACCTAAACATTAATGACCTGCAGAGCCTGAATGTCAAACTAAATTTCATGGCGAGAATTATAGATATCAGATATTTAAAAAGCCTGATCACCAGCTTCTTTATTCCCCAGAAGCTGAAAGACCAACATCACTAACATGGCTGCAAAAAAGGTAAAATATACAAGCAAGAAATGAAACATCAGACGTCTCTGTGTGATTTTCTGCTGCCTTTGAACAGAAGCATGTTTCAGTGTCTCGTTTCCAGCCAGTCAGAACCAGTGAACTGGATGGAAAATGAGTCAAAGCGACCTCCAACACAATGGGAAGGTTATGACATCAGAGTTCATCATTTAAAGCTTCACACATGAAATCTGTCAATATTTACACGAGCTTGTGCTTGACTCCCTCTGGCAGTCCGACCTGAAGCTTGTGTTGATGTTGGGTTTGGCGCTCCGCTGTTGGCACACAGTCATTATAAATTCTTTTACTTTGGTTGAAGCTGCATGGTTAGTTTACAGAGTTTACCTCAGCTTCTGATTCAGCAGTTAAAAGGAAACCTCATTTCCAGCCAGGTGACCATTTTAACGCTATAAACCATGTCAGATATTTTCAGTAAAGTCTAAAAGCTGTCTGACAGCTACTCACGAACTTGTGAGACCATCCTGGGACAACTTAACCCAGATGTGACAACTGTAAGCATACTGGCATACAACTAAGCAAACTTCCACAAATCAGAAACTGACCTCCTGATCTGGATTTAGATCTGGACCTGGTCTACTATGGTCTGCATGTGAAAATACTAAAAACTGTGAAATCTTCATTGTTTCATAAATGTTTCCCAAATTAAAAAAAAAGAGAGAGAGAGAGAGAGAGAGAGAGAGAGAGAGAGAGAGAGAAATAAGTGTTCTTTACCCTCATCTGGACAATCTAGTCCAGATTCGATCCATCTAAATATAGTGGTTTCCCAATGTAGTCTATATAAAATAGAAGTAAAGAATAACAATATTTTTTTTAAAATGTCCTTTTATGGCATTTTCAGAAGTTTCACAAATCAGAAAAAGATTCTTCAGCCTCTGTTGGACAACCTACATCTGGTCCATCTAAATATCTAAATGTAGTGGTTTTAGATTGGACCTTGTCTAAAGTGGTCCAGATGTGAAGAAACAGTGAAATCTCTTCTTTTTTTTATTTTTACAAATACAAAAATAATGTCGCACATGTTTAAATTGAGTTTCAGACAGCATTAAGGTTGTACCAACAATGTCTAACACAGTTTTATGTCAATAAAATCACAGTCAGTCCGCTTCCCTGAACGGAACTGGCTCGTCCGGGTTACTCGACAGTGTGAAGTTTGTCTCCTGTCGGCCGCCGTACAGAAACTCACAACCGGTGACAGGTTTTGTTGTTGTTCCACAAACTAAAATGTCACGGTTTGTTGTGCTACTGTCGTCGCTGCTGGTCGTCTGCAGGGCCGGTGTGTGTCCGTGTGAGAGGCCGGAGCTCTGCCGGCCGATCCGGGAGGAAAGAGACTTCGAGGTACCGTTAGCAGACTGTTAGCTGACCGCTAGCTGGCTGTTAGCTGAATGTTAGCAGACTGTTAGCTGACCGCTAGCTGGCTGTTAGCAGACTGTCAGCTGACCGCTAGCTGAGTGTTAGCTGAACGTTAGCTGGCTATTAGCTAAGTGTTAGCTGACTGTGAGGTTGATGACCGAGAAGGCAGTTTGATGTGAGAAGAGCTGAAGCTTCTTTCGCATCTATAAACAGATGATAGTTAACATTTTACTAACCAACTGCTGCTTTAGATAGATAGATAGATAGATAGATAGATAGATAGATAGATAGAACTTTATTGACACACAAAAAACAAAATGTGTAACTCAGTTTCAGGAGTTCTGTTTTGAGGAACTAGCTGAAAAATATTTTAGCATGAGAGCTGAGAAATCAGTTCAGAAGTATTGCTAATTATCTGATGTGCAGTGACTGGAACAGGTACATTTTTGGTTCAAATAGTCTATAAGTAGAGATGTTGCAGAGTATTTTGGGAGAAAAACTTCACCCACAGACTAAATATACAGTTTATTTAGGATTTCAGCATCTAAATCTTGTCCGTGTGTTATAATTAATCCAGCTACAGCCGATTATGGTTCAATAAAATGTGTTTTCAATGTTTCTCTGCAACCTGTTGTGGTTTAATGATTAGAGGAGTCACGCTCCATATGTGCAATAATGTCACTGCTGAGAAATCAGAAAAAGGTTGTTTTTTTAGATCTGTGTTTGTTCTAAACGCTTAAATATTCAGTATATGGCAGATCCTGTCTGCTTTAGTTTCTATTGTAAGTTTCAGGTTGATGCTGCTGTTACTGTTTTTAACAGTAGTCACTCTGGTTTGTTTATACTGGTGTGATTTCAGTTCCCCCTTTTAATGAAACATATGGTTTGTTGGACTCCTGTTTGGTTGTTTGTATTCCAGATTAAATAACTAATATGAAAATGACTTCATGATAAAATAACAGTAACTGCAGTCTCACTGTAAGCGGAGCTACGAATAGAAGTATACTGTTTTTAGCTCTGCTTTGTTACCGCAGTCTGGAGTTCAGGACTCAGTAGTTGTGGTGAGATGAGGAGAAGTGAGGCCTTTACATGTTTCCTGTTTTAGGAACCTAAACACAAACTGTATTTGTGTGTGTGTCTGTTGTTGGTTTGTTTGCAGGTGTTTGTATTCGACGTGGGTGGAAAGACGTGGAATTCCTACAACTGGAGCGTGGTGACGACAGTGGCCACGTTCGGGAAATACGATGCTGAACTCATGTGTCACGCTCACTCCAAAGGTGCTCGAGTCGTCCTAAAAGGTGAGCTGACTTCCTCACTACAGGAAGGACTGACCTGTGAGGAACTGTTGAGTCTTAAAAATAAGACACGTCATCCTCTCTTTTATAAAATTCCTGATATGCGTTTAATAAAACTTACTACCTCTGTTTGTCGACCTCCATCACCCATCGCTCTCTTTGTCCTTGTTGCTGGAAAAAGGTGACGTCCCCCCTCTCCTACATTGTGGACCTGTCTCGGTCCCAGGACGGCGTGGATAACAGACAAAGTCAACTTGGCCAAGACTCAGTTTATGGATGGGATCAACATAGACCTCGAACAAGCAGTGGAGGAGGGCTCAGCAGAGTACTACGCTTTGACAGACCTGGTCAAAGAGACCACCGAGGCCTTCCACAGAGAGATCCCCGGCTCTCAGGTGAAGGAAAAGATCCTCTCTGCTGAAAATTAAGTGTACAGCTCAGCCGGACAAATTCAGTGTTTTCGTTGTTCAGCTAAACCTGCCTGGTCTGATCTGTACATTTCACACATGCATCCCGTCGATAATCACTTCCTCCTGATCTGTAGGTCTCATTCGATGTTGCCTGGTCGCCGAAATGCATCGATAAGCGGTGCTACGATTACGTCACCATCGCCGAATCCTGCGACTTGGTGTTTGTGATGTCCTACGATGAGCAGAGCCAGATCCTGGGCGACTGCATCGCCATGGCAAACGCTCCGCTCCAGCAGACACTGAACGGTCGGTTGTAGAGAAATGAACGAGGACAAATCACCTTGTTGGGGTAAAACTACTTATGACGACCAAATAAAATGTCTCTCTTTTTTTTTTTTTTTCTTCTTTTTTTTAAGCTTACGACCAGTATCTGGATCTGAACATCGATCCAAAGAAGCTCGTGATGGGAGTGCCATGGTACGGCTACGACTACCCATGTCTCAACCTTTCCCAGGTGAAATGTTGCTCATTTAAAGCTGCACAGGTTACATGTTTGATGTTGGATTTATGTGATTGGAGAGCGTTGCACCCATGCTAGTGATGTATCTCTAAAAACTGCAGAATCTCAAAAACTGGACAGATTTCCCTGAACTTCATTGCTGACATGCATGCTTCCTAGAGGATAATTCCCTCTGATGCATGTTTCTGACTTCTGATTTCTCCGCTGATCGGCACAACGTCTGGTACAAACACTCCTGCAGCACCACCATGAGGCGGAGATTTATGGTGTCTCAGGATGAACTGCATAGAACTCAGCACACAGATGTTCCCCTCTGAATGATCTGATCTGGTGCCATATTCTTGTCAAAAATCACATTTTCCTGTGGTATTTTTTTAAAGGATATTTTTCCTTCCTAGAAAATGTTGCTGAAGGCAAATCCTGCTCCGGCTGCTGACTTTATTGTTATAGCAGTATAAAGTCAGTTCGTTGTGTCTGAGATGTTGACACACGTCTGATCTTTTCCCATTTCCAGGACGGGATATGTTCAATAGCCAAAGTTCCTTTCCGGGGAGTTCCCTGCAGCGACGCAGCTGGAAAACAGAAAACATACAAGTGGATCATGAAGCAGGTCAACAGCTCCTCGTCTGGCAGGATGTGGGACGACAAGCAGCAGGCGCCGTACTTCAACTACAAGGTGCATGAACTTTATTTTATATTTTCAGAGTATATTCTGCTTTAATTTGCTGTTCAGCGTATAGCTTCACTATGCGTGGGGTAGATGTTTCATCATTTAGCAAAGTGAGCGTCCGTTATGTGGATTTGTCTGAGCTCAAGCTTCACCTCGAGTCCAAATAAATTACAACAAAACAGGCATTTTAGGCTGGAGCTGTCTGTCGGGAGTGTTGGCGTCCAAACACTAATTCACTTTGCTCTCCGGTCTCACATCTACCAGAATCCAAATTGACTTTATTGCCAAGTAGGTTTTCACATGCAAGTGACTTCACTTTGTTTTAGTGAATAATTTTCAATTCAATTCAATTCAATAACAGTAAAACACTAAAAGTAAAAACAAAGGATACAAGATTGAAAATCAGAAATAGTTTATTGATCCCAGAGGGGACATTGCTCACGTTACAGCTGCTTCCATTTAAAGTCTGAGAAATTAAGCAGAAGAATAAATATACGATGAACATGAGTAGAAACATGAGTAGAAAAGTATGTGTAAAATGTACAAATGTGCGTTGTACTAGGAAAATAAAAATCTAGGTGTGCAGTGTAATTAAAAAAATAATAATATAAGAGAAAAAATAACAATATTGAAAGAAATTGCAAGTATAGCAGGTCAAGATAAATATGAAAGAAAATAAAAATAAAAATCAACAGTGTGTCGTGAAAACAAAATGAAATGTGCAACAGGATACTGATAATAATCCAGTCTGTTAGGCTACAAACATCCATACAAATGAAAGTAATTGTGATGTAAACAAACCCTAACAGCTCAGGTTAATGATACTCACCAAACATTCATGTAATCTGGGTTTTTTTCTCCAGTTTTTCCGTTGAGTTTATTAAACACCTGCAGCATCGGTCCACAGCGGCTTGAAAGAGAGCCAGTAACTTTATTGAATAAGATTATTTATAACTGATTGGTGACATGGAGGCAGGATGGATCAGGATCTGACAGCAGGTAAAACTGTAAACTTCCCAGACAGGTGAGATTCACAGCTGCAGGTAAATCATTGTGGTTGGAGGTTGGAACTCCATTACATCTCATATTCATATTTCACTGTTGGTAAAGTAGTATTTAGATTATCATGACACATGGACAGAATTTATAGTGTTTAGGAAATCCTAGATCATCTACACTGTCAGTTATTTGAACAGTTTGATAAGCTGCTGTTAGTTTAGTCTAGTGTTTATTATTGTGTATTTTACAGTGCCAGATGTTTTGTTTAATCTGTTGATCCAGATATGCAAATACGTCTTTATTTAGATTGCTTTAAGTTATTGGATCTTGAAGAAACGCTCTCTCATCTTGCCTGTATTACTGTGTACGTACAGCAAAATGACAGTGAACTTGATTTGATTTTAAAGGACAAATACTGTTCGGTGACGTTGAATGTCTGAATAAAGTCAAAAAGAGCATCCCTTTAACAGACTGACGAAGCAGCAGAGTTACATGTCGCGTGTCTAAAAAGCACTCCGTGATTGTTTTGGGTGTGGATGGAAAAGTCTCCTCACACCACGAGATCTATAATCTGTTTTCATCTTTCTTTAACTTTCTCCCTCAGGACCAGAACGGACAGATCCATCAGGTTTGGTACGATGACCCACAGAGCATTTGTCCGAAGGCGGACGCGGTGAAATCCAAAGGATTGAGGGGCATCGGCATGTGGAACGGCAACATCTTGGACTACAGTGACGACCCAGTCACCAGGCAACAGACTGAAATGATGTGGAACGCCCTGTTCGGATGCTGACCGGGATGCTCTAGTCCGTACATCCCTCTGCGGCAGTGACAGGGCGGGCTGTTCCTTCAGGGACGCTTGCTTGCACTTCACACTTTATCGAGGCTTTAATCGCTGTTGTCTTTGAATGTAGTTACAGACATTCCTCTGAGCCAACTGAAATAACTGTGATTCTCAAAAAAAAAAAAAAAAGAGAGCGAGAAACCAATATTTTTTTAACTGTATTTTTGATTGAGCTTCCTGAGATTCGTGCACTTTACTGTTTTTAATAAATAAAGCCCTTTTGTGATTAATTTGTTCCGCTGATGTTCCTGCGACGCGTCTGAGAAAGATGAACATAAATCAACAATTCAAAGAACTGTTTAATTAGGAAACAACAGGAGAAAACATACAGTTAAAAAAGTACAAAATAGTGAAGCCTTGTAGAAACAGCATAACACTGACAGCTGTGTTCTTCACACATTGTGCATGTTCTGAATTAACTGCTTTAAACTTGCGGTCTCTCTCGCATCAGTCCAGGATGAGACGACTGACTCTTCTTCTGAGCCAGCTCGGCCTTCAGGGCTCTCAGCTCTGTGGCGGCCTGCTTCCTCAACTACAGACATCCACGGAAACAAAAAAGCAAAGCAAGTGAGCGATTTACTTTCCAACTGCTTTTATGCTCGTCTACGGGTGTAGTTAGAACTTCATGACAGAAAATCCGCTACCTTTATCTCCGTCACCAGCTTCATCTTGGCGTCTTCTACTTTCCTCTTCAGGTTGTCGATTTCGTAGCTCTCCGTCATGATCTGAATGATGAGCTCGTTCTGAAATTAATTATGATTTATTGTATGGCACATAAATAGCACGCAACATGTAAAATTTGAAGCAAGACCATGAAGTCGGTGTGGGATTGTAATGCCTATATTAAACCTTATTTTTTAGAATAAAGTCATACAATCATTGCTAGGGGATGATCCATGCAGGTAAAAATGATCCTTTCCTTGGCTAGAACTTGTTCTGACCAACCACCATCAGCCTTGAAAGTTTACCCAGAATGCACTTTATAAAGTTTTCTCTGGTGAATGATCAAAAACCAGAAACACATCCAGGGTACCAATGATTGTTTCTATGACTCCATGTCATAGACATTAATCTGCTGCAGTCTGACTGTTCACACTATGAGACATCCCATAATACTGATGCTAAAAGTTGGTTATGGAAAAAGTGGTTTTAAACAAAAAAACAGATTTAGTCTTTAGACACCTGGATGGATGTCAGATTGATTTTGTTGCACTTTTTAACAACTCAAATGTGTTTTTCAGCCCTAACAAGTGATGAGAAAAATCCAACCCAATAATATAAACTGTACAAACGTAATCAGCTGATTCTGAGGGCACCATTAAATGGTAAATGGACTAGCGCTTTTCTACCTTAGCGGCACTCAAAGCGCTTTACATTCTCACACCAGTGGTGACAGAGCTGCCATTGGGAGCAACTTCAGGTTCAGTGTCTTGTCCAAGAAAACTTCGACTGTGGAGGGGATTGAACCACCAACCTTGCGATCGGAAGACAATCCGCTCTCCCAACTGAGCAACAGCCGCCCATTAGTTATTTAATGAATGTTTTACGTGTGATCAAATCGCACCTTTACTGAAGATCTGCCTTGTCGTCTGGGCTTTCCTCGGCTGTCTCTGGCCTGGAGCTGGTGCAGCAGTTTGTTGTAAAACGTCTCCAGTTCTTGTCTTAAGTTTCTCAGCTCGTCCTCCAGTGGCGCCGTGGCCTTTTTGGTTTGAAAGTATTTCTTCTTCCAGCTGTCGCGTGCTTTACGTTGGAGGGGAATGAAAAAAATAGACAGGAGTATAATTCAGTTACAAATTTAACCGTTTATTTTTTTTTCTTTATTCTTTATTTCTTTTTTTTCGTTGTTGTCTTTAAAAATGCTCCAGAACATCACATTGTCAGTCAGGATATAAAATGTTGTTTTGCACACTGAGTTTATTAACCGTAACCAACTTTCAAATTCAGCAAAACTATAAAAATCAACTAGATGTCATCTCATGGTCCCTGTTTGCAGCTGTACACTTATCAAAAGGGTTCAAAACACCTGATTGTTCACAGTTTTACTACATTTCTGGCCCACCTTGGTTCCTGCGGTGTCGGTTCTGGGCTAACAAGTCCTTCCCCTTCCTTAGCAGCTCTTGTCTCGTCCACTCGAGCTGCTTTCTCTCGTCCCTCGCCAGCTTGATTTCCTCCATTAGTTCCTCTCCTTAGAGGGACAAAACATTAAAAATAAGTCGCACTAAGCCTGAGGATGCCTCCGGTGCGACAGCTTACTGTTTACTGGAGAAGCAGCTGTTTTATGGGGCACCAGGGCCGAGTCTGGACCTGGAGGAGACGTGCAGCGAATAGGCCGAGACGCCACAGCTGGACTTTCTGCCACCTGAAAACAGACACAAAGAGTTTTAGTGGATTCCTTTGTTGCTGACAGTAAAACTGAAAAAACCACCACGACAAACAACCTGGAGTCCTGCGTAGAAAGAACCCCCTCACACGGTAACACTGAAGTAGACAATAAAACTGATTTAATCACTAGAAAACTCATCTGTGTGTCTCAAAGTTACGTATTTTATCCATGAAAAGGATCCCTTGCTGCTTTAAAATGACTTAAATGTTCATTCAAAGTCAGGATACATCAACAGATGGAGGATGCATTTACAACTAAAGCTGCAGGCGCACAAATAAGAAACTGGGACGACAGTAAAAACATGGAAAGGAAAAAATAGAGTCAAAATAATAAAAGCATTAATTAAAATTTTTAAAGTTTAAAAAAAAATAAATGAATCAACTAAAACAAGAGCAGTGAAATAGGGTGAAATTAAAAGCCTGAATTGATTGAGTCCAGATTTAGATTGTTCTGTTTCATTCTAATAAAATTGGGTTTCTCCAGCTCAGTGAGAACAGCCAACATCTGAGCGTGTTCTGTAAGGAAGCCCTGCAAAAGACAGTAGTGAGGTAATGTAAGGGGAAATAAAAAACAGTCAGTGACATCCAGTGTATCAGCTCACAATGACGAGTGTTATCTATCACCAGGAATAAATCTGAGTGCAGATGAGTCACCTAAGAGTCTGTTGCTTCCATCATCTGTCATTCCAGCGTCTGCTCCATGTTGGTGGCACTCGGCTCGTTTTTTTTTTCCAATTTAAATGTCAAATTTTACGGAAAAAGGACACAAATATACCGTGTGGTTCGAGTCATTTCCTGCAGCTCGGCACTGTAATTTTAGAAAATGTTCCACCGACAAATGGAACTTTCTTTTAATGACAAACAAAGCAGAGTAGTGTACGCAGTCCAGTGCAGCGAGGAATGCCCAGACCTGTACATCAGGGAGACTAAACAACCGCTACACAAGCTCCTCAGGACAGGACTCAGCAGTCCACCTGCATTTCAAGGACAAAGGAGACTCATTGGAAGACAACAACGTACAGATGTTGGCCTGCAGGGAGGACAGATGGTTTGAGAGAGGGGTGAAAGAAGCCATCTTAACTGGAAAGACCGTCCCTCAACAGAGGTGGAGGTCTGAGGCATCACCTCTCACCTGTTTACAAGTCAGTCCTAAGATCTCTCCCCAGGAAGATGAAACCACATCCACACCCAGTTACAAAAGACCCTAGCAAACCCCTTTGTGGCAGGCGGAGCACTAACGACTCACATAACGAGGGGGAGGAGCAACAAACCCCCAACTGAAACAGAAACTCAGGTGTTAATGGCTCCTTAAGGGTATAAATATCTGGGACTCCCAACTAGTCAGTCAGAACTGATGAAGCCTCTTGGATGAGAGGTGGAAC